CCCAGGAGTTATATTAAGTGCAATATGGATTTTCTAAAAAAGTGAAAAATCAAGCTGTCCTAAAGCAAATTGCATCATGAATGATGCAGGATGCGACACAATCAAACAAGGAATACGCCCGTTGGTAAACCTCATATCAAGCGTCAGGAAGACAAATTTGAAATGATATGACCACGTCATGAGAGCCCCATATTACTCAATTACTATCCTATACGGTTTTCTACTTAAGAATTAGGAGAATAGAGAATCAGAGGAAAAATAATCTGACATCTTACCTGAGTGAATAGGAAGATCATCCACCGAAAATGAAAAAAAAAAAAAATACTGGACGGATTAAGTCAAATGTTTAGCTGCACAACGACTGTGCGATCACACCCGGTCATGGGAGTGCCGATGACGATGATGACAGACTTCACAGGTTAAATATTTATTGACTTCCACTGAGTTCGGTGGAGCTTAATCGAAGAAATAGTCAATTCTCGTCTCCGCCTCTCTCGGTTTACCACTGATCTCTGAGGCCTTGTTGTCCTCCCATCTTTTTCTCTGTCTTCTTCGTCTGCGAGTTCATGAAGATCTTCATTAAAAGATGGATGTTACTTACGGGGTCTGTGGAATGGGAGATTATGCTCTTCCGTCTTAGTTCCTATCTTTCTACGACTGTCAGGTGGGGACCATTATCAGGTCTAATTACACTATGGGGACCTTATAAACAATGAACCTGAGGGGCACCTCTTCTTTTGTCAGTGTATAAGACGTCTAAGATCTTCCTGTAAGATTTCATCTCTGTTGTCAGAAATATTCTTTGTATTCTTGGTGTGTTACTACGATTCACAGCCGTAGATGAAGATCGACATGGCAAAGGAGGACAACAATGTAGATTTTGGAATGCGGAAAGATAAGCTTGCCTCGCCAAATGATTTTATGTCTTGTTATAACCCACTAGCTAACGTCTTACGGCCATATCACGTTGAAATGTCGATTCAATACTATCACCGAAGTTAAGCAACGTCGAGTTTGGTCAGAACCTAGATGAGTGACCGCTTCGGAATAACAGATCTCATTCTCCTAAATATGTGCATACATGCGCGGCTTGTGACCGCTTGTGAAACCAAAATCTCACTGAAACTACTAATATGATTTTATACGCCCTAATAAATACGACCTATTGGTCAGCTTTTGTTCGGATGTTGGGTGTTCGTTTGACGAAACTGGCTCAATCTGCCGGGCCAATACCACAGCATGTACAGGTACAGGAAATGATACCATCATTTTTCGTTTATTATTAACATTGCCCCGTGACAGCTTGCAGGGAAAACAAAAGGTTAATATTTATAACCACGAATAAAATTCTTTTAACCTTGACTCCACGAGCATTTTCTGTGTTCAATAATACTAAATGTTCAACGACTATAATATTCAACAATACCAAGAATAAACTAAAAACAAGAGGCACAACGACTCGGATTGAGGAATCGGAGGGCCGAGTTCGAATTCCAGTCAAATCCATGACGTTCACATACCCTTGGTATGAATCCTCTTCTCCCCACATAGATAGGGTAAATAGCAGGTCAGACCATGTTCTATAGCCTTGAATGACAACTGGTCTAACGCAGAAAAAAAATTTATCGAAATATAAATGATTGCCTAAGCGTGTATCATGTATGGAAAATAACTGAGTAAAGCAAATACCAAACACAAATTGGTATTTATACGAATCTGTGAAAAATGAAACATTAATTAGAGTTTTAAGTTTAGATTAAAAGATCAATTAAAAGCTTTCTGTAAATATGTTAATTTGGGAAAGAGAAACTAGATGCTGATAAGAGATGCTTAATTTCTTCAAATATATACGTTTAGAAATAAAGAAAGGACGGCAGTCAAGTATCGTATGGTGTCTGTATCCTACGGTTTGGGAATAGTAGACCAGTTTTGAAGTCGCTGTAGTAACAAGTATATCATTGGACTCGGGGGAATATTCAACTATTGACCTTCTCAGTTGTCGGCACAATTTTTATTGGTTTTTCGGATTAACCTCAAGTTCTCAGTTTTGAGTTATGGGTTGAAAGCTAAATATAATGATTAGATTGGTTAATTATTCTGTCTGACCGATCATATGGCTTATTTTGCGCAGAATCTGCTCAAATGATAACCTCTCATGTCAAACCGATTTTCTTTTTCGGGTCAGCGCATTGGTAAATTGATAAAGCTTTTGCTTTCTTCTCTTGTTGTAAGCTAGGGAAGGTTACTGAATAGAATAATCACACAAAGATTGGTAATGAACGATAATACTTAGGACACGAACAACACATATAAGATTTGCCGGCGGCGCGTAGTTAAATGATAGAAGTGAGTCAAGTGAATTCCACAATGAATCTCCAACTGCAGGATATCTACCAAACACCCCACGCGGTAAGATGTGGCACAAGGACGAATTTAATGTGAGGTGTCCGAGTCCGTAGGCTCGGCTAAAAATTCCCTGTAGACTCAGTATAAAACGGGGTTGGGTAGCTATTTCCCGAGACGAGACTTTGCCCTTCGACATAGCCTCATCTGGGGATCCTCTCTGCCTGGAGGTAGAGAGTTTGACCAGCACAGCTAGAGACGAATCTCTAACAGAAGACCAACATACAATCTTTACTATTGTATTTATGTGAATGGGGACATACCCATTATCGTCCGTAGGTATGCTACAACATCACTGATAACTCTTTTTGTAAATTTAATATTTATTTATAATATTTTTTAATGTTTCTAATTCATAATATTCATTACTGTTTTTCTTGTTCAAAACATTCACTAACGTTCAGAGCAGTTCATTTATTGAAGGCCACCTCTTCTCTCCCTGCTATCATTATTACCTGAAATTCTTCACTCATTTGATTGCTTTAAATAACCTTCAAAAGATTGACAAGAAAACAAATCAATTAACCAAAAATGGTAACACATTTTTGTATATGAGGCGGTGCTGAAAACTTAATAGTCTGACTATGAAGGAGTGACGCTAGAGCTGTGAAATCTTGCATGCATTAATTTCAACACCTCGTATTAATAAAGGCTTTGTTTCTTTCCAGGTAAATTGACACATGACTCGGCAAAAAAGACTGTTCTTCCTGTTGATAGAAAATTATCATCAACACTGCGATACAGGTTCCTAGCCAAGTTTTTTTGTGTGCGTGTTAGGGAACAGATGATAGTCAGGTGGAGCTAAATCAGGAAAATAGGAGTTGATCAAAATCACTGAAAACAAGATCTTTACTGGAGCATTGTTCGAATGAAACAAGAGGTTTACGTCACTTTTCCTGTGTTTGGTCTCGATTACTTTTCTGAACAGTCTCAGCAATTTGGTATAGTATACTCGATTGTGTAACCCTTTTGAAGATAATCAATAAACAAATTGCCTCTTGCATCCAAAAACTCTTAGTCCATAAACTTTCCCGTAGATAAAACGTGCTTGACCTTCTTTGGAACAAGTGAAGAGTACTCTTTCCACTGCATTCATTTTTTCATTGTCTCTACGTCAAAGTCAGGGACGAAACACTCATTTTGCGTTAGGAAATGTTCAAGGAGATCAACTGGCTAATGCCTCAAACAATGTCAGATTTTCCAATAATTTTGAACAAATGTCAGAGGCAGTGAAAACCCATCAAGTAGGAACCTTTGTCATGCCATGTTCATTGTGTAGAATATTCTAAATTCTCTCATGGGATATGCTAATAGCATTAGCTATTTCATTTATAGTGAATCACCTGTCATCTATACCCATATGGTGAACACAACCAATGTTTTGCTTGGTGATGTCCAGTCCATGTGTCATCTTCAAGACTCTCCTTTCCCCTTCTAAATTCAGCTGGCCGGCATTGCACTGTTGATAAAGTTGTAACGCCATCTCCTAATGTCGTAACCACGTCAGACATTAATTTTTTGGGGGCCACACTTTTTCTGCAGATACTTGATAACACCACGATGCCATATTTTGTTAATAGTCGGTACTATTTAATTCTAAAGTCTTATTTGAACAGTCAGATGTCGGTTTATCAGGAAAGAAACAAAGACATTATTAATAAGAACAGTTGAAAATAATGCATGCAAGTTATAACAGATCTAGCATCTCTCCTTCACAGTCGGTCTATGAACTTTTCAGTGCACCTTCGTATAGCGTCTTTTATTTCTGTCTGTCTGTCTGTCTGTCTGTCTGTCTGTCTGTCTCTCTCTCTCTCTCTCTCTCTCTCTCTCTCTCTTAAGATCATCTATTAATAGTAATTATGACAGGAAGCTTCTTTCACGACTTTATCCTTTTTGGTGGATTAAATATTTAACTTCTTTAAAAAATAAAAATTACTCGGCTCTTTCGTAAAAGAGTTTGTGACAATGAAAATTCTTTCTTTTATTTTTGATACCGTATTTGGAAAGGTCTGTCTTCTGGCGTTTAGCCATTCGTTCTCATCACTCGTTGTGACAGACATTTCTATTTCTATGGGATTTTTTTTTATTTTTTCCTTTTTTTTTTAAATTAACATTTCTTTATTGTCGTTATCATAATCTGAGACTTCCAATTATCAACATTATCGTTTTCAACATTAACAAAAATAGCATCACCAACCTCTCCTTTTCTATATATTGTTGTTCTCTATTGAAGTTTTGATGCTATTTCACTTGGGGCTAAGTAACAGAAAGTCTCCCTTATGCCGCAGTACTCTTCTGAGTATTCAAGCTGTTTTCATTGATTAATTAATTCATTTTCTAGACTTATCAACATTTTGGAGGTTATTTAAAGCCAGAAAATATTTTTAGATTGTAAGATTTGTTTTTCTTTTGATATTATAATGATTTATTGATACATCTCTTACTAATTAACCCATAGTTGGTGGGAGAAGTTCAGTCCTACCTTTCCCAAAGATATTTGCATTTAAGTGAATATAATGAACCCGACTGGAAATGGAACACAGTTTCTCGAATAATAATTTCGATTAATTATCTATTACACCACCCACACATCCGAGCTTACAGCACTGGTATTCCCAGGCGGTCACCCATCTAGGTACTGACTACGCTCAATTTGCTTAACTTCGATGATCGTATGGGAACCGGTGTTTCAACGTGATATAGCCATAAGCCGAGCTTATGTGTGTATTGTTAGTCATCTGAATCCATTTTTGACTGGGCGAAAAATGTTCTTTCTGATGAGGAGTATGGATGGCTACTACTACAAACAAAAGACAATGGTTAACAGATTTAATATAGGAAAAAAAATTATTCTTTAAATAATATGTTCAACTAACTATTCTTCGCCTGGGGAAGGTCACAAGACCCGAAACACTTGCGGCGAAATATACAGAATAAATATGAAAAAGTCCACATTACAATCAAAAACGTTTACGATTTTACGATTTTTAAACTATATGCATATACAGGTTTATTAAAAAAGAATGACCGATTCAAGACGCATTGTTTCAGTTCTCAAGTATTGTTATGGAATGAATAAGTCAGCATTTGAAAGAAGAGTTCTCTAAGTTTTGAATGGTTACCACTGGGGCGCTGTAGTCGCGTCTTATCTCCGGTAACGTTCAGTTGTTACCCACGGAATGTCGAGTCATCAGCGAAAGGCATTCTGCGTTTTTAAGTTCGCGAAAACAAATACGTTTTTCAAGGTGCAGTGTGCGTTTCGAAAGCAATTCGGCATTAATCCGTCCTCACTTAAGAACATTCGACGGTGGTTTAAACACTTTCAAGAGAGTAGGTGTCTGTGTAAAGTAAAAAGTTCAGAGCCGTCCACGTCTTTCGGAGGAATAAGTGGTGAGAACCGTACTGAAGGGAGTCTAGTGAAGCCAATAAATCGAGCTAGCCGTGAGCTTGCGTTCATTCAATCCACTATTTGGCGAGGGCTAAGAAGACGTCTACATCTGAAACCTTACAGACTCGTTCAGGCAGTTATGAAGACCTTGCTCTTTGAGCTTGGCCTGCAGGATTCCCAAACCTCGCCGTGTCTGATTTTTTCCATTGAGGATACGTAAAAGATCGCGTTTATGCTTCATCGCTACCCACTAACCTCGATGATTTTTAACATCAAATAAGTGGATCGTGATATACATCATACCGGAATTCTCTTATGGCATTGATGTTGCCCGTGCTGCAGGTGATGGCCACATTGAACACTTGTAAGATAGGAAATAAATTTGATTGTGAGTAAAATACTAGTGACTTGGAAAGGGGTTTTTAATGCTTTTCATTACTAAAATATTGTGTAATGAAATCGGATTTGATTCTTTTTGTAAACCTAAATATATATATATACATATATATATATATATATATATATATATATATATATATATAATAAAAGGCTTAGTGTTTAAGCCTTTTTTATTATATCCTTACTCTGTTCTGAACATTGAGTTCTACCTGGATTCTATCCTCTTGGAATTATTTTTATACATATATATATGTATGTGTATGTATGTATGTATATATGTATATATATATATATATATATTTTAGATATATGATTGCATATTTATGTGTATATTTCCCACTACTATTATATATATATATATATATATATATATATATATATATATATATATATATATGTATGTATAACATCAAAATTGTCCAAATCGTGTGAGGGCATGGGATAATTGTCCATCCCTCCAAATGATTAATATCTAAAAAAACACTACACTAATTGAGTTTCTTTTTTTCCAAGTTTTCAAATAAGACGTTTAGTCATCTTGATATCATTTGTCATAAGAATCACTGAGAAATCCTTTGAGTTATTCTGTTAGAAAGAAAACAGATTAAAATCGTTTTGTGTCATCCCAACTATGTCATCCCAAATGAGCAATGGTTAGAGGAAAAAGCTCCTTCAGGCCTTAAATAATTGTACCAACATTTATAAACTATCTTCCATCTTCAATGTCCGTTCAGGAACTATGAAGAGAATGGTGAATAAATTTAAAAATGTGGAAGCATATTTAGAGAGAAAAACTGGATCAGGAGTTTACAACAGGAAGAGTAACCATCATTCCAACTCAGATAAGTTGAATAAGTTGTAAAATTATCCTGAATACATACATACATACATACATACATACATACATACATACATACATACATACATACATACATACATACATACATACATACATACATACATACATACATACATACATACATACATACGGTGGAGTAATGGATAGCGGGTTGGATTGAGGGATCGCAGAGCCGAGTTCGAATTCCAGTCGAATCCATTACATTCACTTACGTGCTAATACCCATGGGAAAGGTATGAATCCTCTTCCTCTCCCTCCAGCTATGGGTAAAATAGCAGGACAGACTGGGTTCTATAGCCTTGGATGGCAACTGGTCTAGGAGAAGGACAACTCTGAATTCAAAACCTGCGGAGGGTCGTTTGGGAACCTTGTGTCTTTCGGTGCACCAGGTCTTTGTATTCGTCCCTTCAAAAAGTGTGGATGGTCCTGCACGAAGCCTTCACCACTATAATCAAATCTCATGTGTCGGGCTGTCGGTTTCCTGGAAACTGATCTGCTTGACCCTTATACGTCGAATCTCGACGGGAGAGTCGATTATATATATATATATGTGTGTGTGTGTGTGTGTGTGTGTGTGTATTTGAATTTTATTTCAATACTTCATGATGCATCTGATTCTTAGCTATGATTAATTAATGATGAACATGTAATTTTGTTTAGAATAGATTTCATCCCGATTCTTCTGTTAATCTTGGAGAGTAATTATACATTCTTATTGCTCAAAGTAGAGTCCAAGAGTGATATAAAAATACGGAGAATTCCAGTAAGACATCTTTAATCATTTCTAAGATACAACGGTTCAGAGCTTAATCAAACAATTGCACAATCTTGGTGTTACACCCGGTATATATATATATATATATATATATATATATATATATATATATATATATATATATATATATATATATATGTTGGAGGTACAAAACCGTAATATTGCAAGGAATAAATACGAATTATTTCTTAATGGCATTATGAAAAATGAAAAAAAAAAAAAAAAATAAGAGATGATAACACTTACAAAGCAGACCAACCGGTTTCGTTCCCAAGCTCATCAGGGTCGACTGGGAACAATTTCACAATTATTGCAATATAAATTGACTCACACACAAACCCTACATACAATTAAAAGTTTAAAAATGAAAAGATTAATGGTATGAGGGAAAAAAAAATTATATATATATATATATTTTTTAGACCGTGCGAATATGCACAGTGAAAAGGGGAAAAAAAAAATTGTTCCCAGTCGACACTGATGAGCTTGGGAACGAAACCGGTTGGTCTGCTTTGTAAGTGTTATCATCTCTTATTTTTCATTTTTCATAATGCCATTAAGAAATGATTCGTATTTATTCCTTGCATATATATATATATATATATATATATATATATATATATATATATATATATATATATATATATATATATATATATATATATATATATATATATATATATATATATATATATATATATATATATATATATATATATGTGTGTGTGTGTGTGTATATGTAATCCGTTGGATAATCCAGGCGAGTCCTATTAACACAGCAAAGAATTTGAAATATGTTACAACTGACTCACCAAGAGCACTTAATGTTTATTTTCATTAAACAGAGCAAAATTTTCGCTACGATTGGAATTAAGATAAGTTTAGTTAACGAACGTTTTCACCTACGAATTGTAATTTTAAAATTTCCAGGATTTATCAAACTCTTTACGGTATCAGTTTGTAATGGGATACTCTACTACTATATCCAACGACAAACTGATACCACAAACAGTTTGAAAAATCCTGCGAATCTTAAAATTAAAATTCGTAGGTGAAAATCGTCATTAACTAAAAGTATCTTAATTCTTCTCGTAAAGAAAATTTTGCTCTGTTTAATGAAAATAAACATTGAGCGCTCTTCGTGAGTCACATATTTCAAATTGTATATTATTTACATTATTCGGACTATTGTCCTCATCTTTGTCGTTACTTGATTTAACCAACGCCTTTATCCACTGTGCCATGTGTCCTTGAGGAGATCTGGGTATGAATTTCTGGGTATTATAAACCTGTCATCAGCAACCATTTTTACCAGTGCTCATATTGCAATTTTGCTGTTATCATTTCATGTTTTTGCATGTTGGTTAAATCCAGTGACAGGACTCAAAGAGTGTGAGTTCAATACCCGTTAAGGCAGTGGAGAACTTCCAGAGGGAAAATAACTGATAACTGACATTCATCAAACATGGGACGTGGAACGAGAACAGTCTACCCCAGTGAGCGAAATAAAGTGTTCTGTTCGATATTCCAACCACCTGAAGAAGGCCGGAGCGTACAACGGCCGAAACGTTGTGATAAATATGGCGACAAAAATGAGGAGAATAGTCCGTATAATGCAAATAATGTGCATAATACCTCATCTCAGAAATATAGACAGACTTCAAATTCTATGTTTTGTTAATAGGACTTGCCTGGATTATACCAAGGGATTGCTACCCATATATATATATATATATATATATATTCATACATGTTTCAGTAAATAATATAGACAAGTGTTGTCTATTTATTCTTTTCATAACATATGATAAGCTTATTAACATTATCATTAAACGAAGAAAGAAAATCACAATATTTTTTAATCCAATCCAAGCTTTCGGCTTACATAAGCCATTATCAAATTACTGTACACGGAAAGAATGTGATGATAGTCTGTTTCTGTTTACATGTATGATTTCCAAGCAACAATAAACACGTGCACATAAGAGGCTGGAAGAGAAAATCGCACCGCAGCTCCTGACGTCACACATGACCACACTAGAGAAGTATTAAGTATGGGAAGCCGTTGGTATATACCAATGGTTTCTGTTACCAATTAAAGACATTAAAGAATATTTGTGGAGATTTCATAGTTTATTTTGTTTAGGTTAGGTTTCAACTGATTTATAGCTTCAAGAATTTTTAGTTTTTGTTTATTGTTTTCATGTTTAAGTATAATTGTTTTCAACGAGGATTTTACGGAATTGTGTATGCGGCCAGGCATGTTGTTTTAAATGCCTAAAAATATT